AATCAGCTGCTGTATATTTATACACGATGGAAGGGGGTGATAATAGTTTCTACCGAATACTGAACCAAGCGCTACGATCTGAAGATCGACCAGCTCTTAAGCCCTGGTTCCCATATCTAAAACTACTCGACACAGCACTCGCCAAATTACCCACTGTGAAGGCAAACATTTGGCGTGGTGTCGTTGGTGACATTGGTCAGAATTTAAGGAAGGACGACAAATTTATCTGGTGGACTGTAACTTCGTGTTCATTATCGGTTGATGTTATCAAGGACTTTTTAGCTTCTGAAACAAGATCGACTATTTTCTTGATCGAAGCTACACATGGCAAGTGTGTTTCTGGTTACACGAATTATCCCAGTGAAGATGAAGTGTTGTTGGCTCCAGGCACTACATTACGTGTAGCGGCCAATGTATTGAGTCATCCTGGTGGTCTAGATATTGTACATTTGGTAGAAGAACGTGAAGACAGAGACGAACAATCGACATCAGCTAAGACTGCGATGAGCGTATTGCCGAAATCCACAGAGACAGATGAATCCAGTGAGTATTAAATGAGTGTCTTGATGAGCCAACAGTTTCAACAAGATTCAGAATTGACATAGCTGTAGAAAAAATGATGAGAATCAATGAAGTTGATATTTTTTTTTTGTATTTAACCAAATATTCGACAATATCATTTTATGATTTTTGTTCAACAGCGTTGAGACAGTTATTTGTTGACAGAGTTCTTTTGTATTTTTTGGAAATGAAAATGTATCTGATCAGATAACTAATTGTTTTTTTGCAGGAATGAAACAACCGGAAGCAGAATCCACTTCAATTCCAACGGCACAAGCGACCACGAAAGTATCATCTTCAGGTGAGTCTACTACTACGAGAACTTGAAGAAACGATGTTATTTATGTAAAAAAAAATTCAATAATCATTGTTGAAAGCAAAACTTTATGAGGACTTAAAGCATCACAAATCGATTTTAAAAGATACATGTACGTAGCGAAAGTTATTTAATATCGATCGACTCCAACTGGCAGAAACCAATTTGAATGAAATCAGTTTTGAACGAGAGAAATTAATTATAATATCATGAATCTGTTTTGAGGCATCTCTCCTCTATATATGTTTGCGAAATCGATTCCTATCAATACTAAGCTTAACTTACAATTCTTTGAACTTTGATCGAAAGTAAAAATATCTAAAGTGAAAATGATGGAACGAAAAATGTTGAAAACTGAGCTGAAGATTCATGAATAATTTCTGGTTTAGAAAAAAAAAAACTTTTACTTTCGTCCAAAGTTAAGTATATCGGTTATACTTTCAGAATTTTTTTGCATAGATTTTGTCTTTGCAACATTGAAAGAGTTTAGGTAAAAACTTGTACAACATTCATAAAAAGTCTGTAACTGTAGGCGACTCTTTCATCGTATTTATATGTAGAAAACAACAAATAGGGAAGGAATGATCATCTTTTAATTTTCAGTCCACAGGAGTGACTAATCGATATTTTTTTTTGACAAACATATTTTCAACAAATCGCCTTCCTTACAAGGTGTAGAGACTTATGTATGCTTAAAAGTCTTATTTCCCTTTTCTAAGGAATTATATAAGTGAAAACGTAAGTGTTTTACACATTCAATTTATATTAGAATTGAAATCTGAGATGCATCTTTCAAATTGAGCTTTGCTGCTACTATGTCTACATATACGATTCTGTGTACTCTACCAATAATTTTGCGTTTTTAATAACTGCATAGAACGTCAAATAGGCTTTTCCTAGCTACTATAAACATTGTATCTTTTTCTTTAGAATCCAAAAAGCAACGAAAATCCGATCTTGAGAATTATTCACTTGTCATATGAACTTCGATCATGCTACGAACTGGAGATCTTTCCTCTGAGATGAACGAAATAGATATTTAGAACCCTCCATGTGGTGGTCGTTGTGATCATTTATTTGTCATGTAACCTTTGTTCAAGTTATGAACACGAACTATTTGCTTCGAAGTGGCCAACATAAATGAATAGATTCCTCGTTGCAATTATTCATTTTCGATATAATCTTCAATCAACTGACCAACTCAAAACTTTTGCTTCAAAGTGAGAAAAGTAGTTGAATAGAACTCTTGTTCTACTTGTGGCCGTTGCCGTTATGATAATTCATTTAGCATGTCATCTTCAATCAGTCCATCAATTCTCAACTTATATGTCGAAACGAGACAAATCATTGAACAGAACCCTGATTGGAAAATGATTATTCAATCAATATGTCATCTTCGATCAGCTTGCCTACTCGAAACCTTAGCTTCAAAGTAAGCAAAACAGATAAATAGAATCAGCTTATTAGAAAATACTTATTTACGACATAAGCTTCAATTAACTTACCTATTCTATATCTTTAGTTTGAGTTAGATCAAATAGGTGAACAGAACTCTGATGGTGGTTACGTTGATTCATTTGTCATGCAATAATTGGTGAGGCTATCAACTCAAAAGTTTTACGTTGAAAGGAGTAAAATATGCGAACAGAACCTTAATTGGAAGACTATGAAGTATTCATTTTTCTTGTGATGATCGATGAGCTTACAAATTCGAAATAGTGGCTTCGAAGTGAGCAAAGTAGGTAAACAGAACAATTATGCGGATTATGAGCATTCATTCGTCATGCAATCTTTGATCCGCTTACTAACTTGTAATCTTTGCTTCGACGTGAACAAAACAGTTGAGCAAAATCATTGGCAAATAATTATTCATTTTCTATATGATCTTCAATCAACTGTGCAATTGGAAATCTTTGCTTCAAAGTGAGTCACATAGCTGAATAGAACTATCGTATCAAATATTCATTTTTCATGTGATCTTCAATCAGATTATCAACTCGAAACATTGGCTTTGAAATGAAGAATAATAGATGAAGAAAACCTTGTTTCTGATCCTGATAATGATCATTCAGTTGCCATTTGATCCTCGATTAGCTGATCAACATAATATCGTTGTTTCGAACTGAATCAAATAGACGAATAGAACTTTAGGACTTGTCGTCATGAATATTCATTTGCCATGAGATTTTTAATCAGATTACCAAGTGAAAATATTTATTTCGAATAAAGCCAAATAAGTTAACAGAACAATTATTCTCATATTCGTCATGTTATTTCTTTTCTTTCTTGGAATTGCAAATGCAATCAATAAAAGAGCTTGTTAGCGCAGCTTCAAAGGAGCTGAAATGTGGTACTCACGTATATCCGTCAGACTTGTTATGCTAATATGTCATCTGTAAACTGAAAGATTTCTGTTGATTAGAATGATTCTTATAACTCATCACTGACATAAACAATGTTTTATTATTTACTTGTACATTTAAAACTGCGACTATCTTTTTCGTTTGAGCGCGCCCGATTTTTTTTATAAATGTTGATATATACTCGAAAATAATCCTTTTTTTTTGTCTTTTTGTATTTGAAATTTTTTCATCATCATCTATTTCATAAATACGAGTCTTACAATAATGCACTTAATATGCATTAACCATTCTTACAATACTTTTATACATCTCAATTAATTTATCAATAATGATATTGTTTCCTTCTGACACTAATAAAAAGATCGAATCATGTTTCTTGTATTGATTATATCATCGATACGACAGATTAATACCTATTATCACTATTCACCGTTGATTTTTAGCATACAAGTTTAAATTCTTAAAAAAGCCAACGATTATACTATTAAGAGTTTTGTTAAGTGCATGTTAGTTTTTTCGAATAATTATGAAAACATTATAATATTGTATAGCAGTCAAATTCATATTCCTCAAACCGTTCAAGCCTTTTTCTATTATTAAGTAAAGCTTAAGTTTTTTGTGTGCAGTTGCTGAGGTATGTAATAGTGACTTGTCTGTAATGGGGGGTATGTCTGTAATGGTGGGGTGTCTGTAATGGTGGGGTGTCTGTAATGGTGGGGTGTCTGTAATGGGGGCTGTCTGTAATGGGGAGGGGGAGCCGCCAAAACTTGAACTTAAAACTTACACTCACTATTTTGTTCGAAAAACATACGTGAGTTCCACAAAATCGTGTGTAGTTGCTTGAAACTGTTCGCATAAAAAGAGGTTGATATAAACATAAGAAAAGTGCGATGACTACTAGAAGTGGCGTTTTCTGAGTAAGAAAAATGGGTATACAAAACGGTGTGATACAGCAGAAAGAGGTATATATGGGACGTAGAGCCCACCGCTCCGTTAGTTTTGGGTGTGGGTGGTTGATAAACATATGCACAAGCATATTCACACCCACACCGAGTTGAAGTCGATATGGAAATAAAAATTGATTGTCAACATTGCTTTCATCAGTCGACTTTTCTATGTCTCATTAGTTAGCAATTGTATCGATTCATTTTTTTTGTATATCTATATCATACGAGCTAAGTAGTTACATTTATTTCTCTCTATTCTATTATGTTGCCTATATTTCGTATTATTGGCTCGTTTGTTTCTTTTCTTCATAATCTTTTCGTATTCGCAAAAAAACCCAGTATTGAATGCCCAGATTCTCTGCAAGTCTCGATATAACGCTGTTGAAAGAAGTATGAGAATATGCATGTTCCATTCACTGACACCCCAGCTATCACCCTCTTGCATAATAAAATCTCTCACGGCGGCTAAGTTGAAAAGTTGTACACTGATCGCTTGTACTACGTAATACAAACTGTAATGAGTATGTCTTCGTAAAACGAAATACACTATGTCGTAGCAAATCGAATTATCTTTATATGAAAAGTTCATATTTTCCAACACAACAGAGCATGATATTGTGTTTCTACAAGTGTTTTATATCCTTTTTACGATTAAAGCTTTCATTTGAGTAATGCATTAAATCAAGTTCGGTTTTTCCACTAGCTCAAGATGTATGTCAACAAATTAAAATTGTATTATCATTTGCTATGATTGATTATGATAAATCCGAACTAATGAAAGAAATTTTCGCAACAAAAATAGAAATTATCAATTTAAGCCTGAATAGAATAGAATTTAAACTCGTGCATTCTTGTATGACATCAGTTTAGATAGGTCAACTATCGAGAGGAAAAATTCATAGTTGACCTTTCAATAATGTCAGATATTCCGTCCTTTTAGTTTTGAATGTGGTGTGAAATAATTGCTTCTATATATTCAAGTTAATACATAGTATGAGACGATCGAATTGATTCCGTCTGCTAGAATGTTTTCCGTGAGGAATTCATAAAAGCATTTTTGAAAAAGGTGTGGGTGAGTATGGGTGTGACTATAGATGTTGGTCTTCTCTCAGCCCACACAAACACCCACTCCGAAAATACCTGATTGGCTGATTTTAGGATTACTGAAATCCTACTGGTTGACTTTCTCATAAAGAAAACATCTGATTGACTGATTTTAGGACTACTCAAATTCGATTGGTTGATTCCCTAATAGAAAAAACACCTGATTGACTGATTTTCAAAACACTGAGATTCGATTGGTTGATTTTTCAACCAATCAGACACCGGAGAAATCGAGGAACAATTTCCATTTTGCAAACTCGTCTCTTCACGATTAAGAAGACCATAAAAGTGTGCTAAACTTCAATTGATCAGCAAATCGAACAATCAAATTTGAGCATATTTTCATACCCTAGAATCTCTTGAGGGTGTGGCTGTGGATGTAAGTGGTGTGGGTGTGAGTGCGGATTTGTTATTCATCCACACCCATATTCCACATCGACAACCACACCCACACCCACGCTCGCTCTCGTTTGAAGTCCGTACTCGACGGGCGTGTTAGTCGAACTAGACTCGAGACACCGGATTGAATTCTATTGAGTGTAGGCAGCTTGTGGCTCCGTCACTATGTAGACGTCCACTAATTTCAAGTTTGAAATAGAGTAGGATGTTTCTTGATCTCAACTTATTCTAAGAAACACATAGGTCACTCGAGTAGTTCCCGTTCATGATTTATTCAAAATAAATTAAAAAAAGCACATATGTTTTGAAACGAATGCTAATTACCACCATAGGTACAAGAAATTGTTTGCAAGTTTTATTGAATAGTCATCAAAGAGTTTTTCATGGTCGATGACTGCTTTTAAAATTTTGACCATTTTATCGTCTACAAATTGCAAACATAACCAAAATAGATGGTGACTATTTTTTGTGTCTTTTCCAAACAGAAATCGCACGATCGGCTCGAAAGTATGATGTGCTATGGCCATCTTGAGACACTGCATGCTAGGACAAAGATTGATGAGCATTTGAACATGTTCAAGTGAGCAAACATGATGAATAGTCACATGTGTAATATTATTGTTTGATATCGAACGAACAGTTTCATCTTGTTCTGTAGATGTATCCGATTTTTGCAGTAATGGCACTGTGGATAGTATCAACGTCTGAACATTTGGCACATGGTGTAAAATTTCGACAAGCTGGTTATGACGAAGTTCGAAGCATTCGATAACTAATTGTGTAAGTTGTATTAAAGGAACAATTCGTTTGAAATCGTCAAGCAATAAACGATTATCTTCAACATATCTATCCATGAAAACAAGACTGGTAACACGATAAAATTTAATGAAACAATTAACAGCGGCCTGCTGACCCCAGATAACGATTTCACGAGATAAATTCAAATTAGACTCTCGATCTGAGCATATATCGTTATCCATACGTTCATATAATTCATAGCCATTTCGTCTACAACGAAAAATAATAATAAAATGTGCAATCCGCAAATATTTCTGCCTAGATACCTGTACGGTTTAGTTGAATAAAACATCACAGCAGGATATTCCATCATAAACAAAAAATGTCTATGTGCAAAGTACCATTGTCGTTCGAACCAAAATGATGTATTGAATCGTTTGATCAATGCATGATAAGCATGAGATTCTGCCATGTCTGGAGAAGTTAAATGCTGAAAGTCGAACGTACGTAATTGAGGCATTTGAGATTGAATCAATTGCTGCCATCGCTCAGCATTCAAGTACGTATCATCATTGTCACTAATTGCAGTAACATACAATCGTTGAATGCGAGAGGAAATTTTCGTTATAAAAATTTCGAATGTGTCAAACGGAACTTGATGTACAACGAGAGAAAGATGCGTCAAATTGAGTGGTACTATTGGTAGTTCAATTGATGTGCTTGAAGATCCATCTACAGTTTTGCATGATAGATGACAAAGTCGAGGCATGTACGAAAGAAGATCGGTGAGTTCATTGAGATTACAGTTGTGGTTCATAATGAGATGCTCAATGCTACTTTGTTGTTCTTGTTTAGCGATCGGCAATCGAGTTGAGTTACGGCTCAATTGGAATGTCAACTTGCAATATTTCAAGATGGGCAGACGAAAAAGTAGACAATAGATAAGATTTTGATCTTTCACCGAATCAATGACACTGATGGACAGAGAATGGAGATTAGGTAGAAAAGCTAGACTCGTGATTAGAAGCACGATTGTATCGGATTCCATATTATCTAAGACGAGAGCTTTGAGACTAGAGAACGTTGAGTCAATGGAGAATGATGCCAGAAAGAGCTCAAGACAAAAATGATTGTTGAGACGAAGTGAAACGATACGATGAAAGTTTGACGGGACAACATTTTTATAACAACGTTGAACGATCACTCTGGAGACGGACGAAAGATTGAGTCTGAGAGGAATAGGCGAAACATTAAGAAGCCATTCGAAATGAATATTTTGATTAGAAAAAGCTTCTAATATATGAAGACAGTCGAGATACTCGAAAATTTCATAGATAAGTTCGTTCGATAGATGTTCAAAACGAGTGATGGACAAACTATTTGAGAATAAGAGAAAGAAATCTATTTTTTGAATAGCTAAAGATTTTCATCTCTGACCTATTATCGTTATTGACTGTCGCTAGAAGAAAGCAATCGAAAAAGTGTTACATAAATAAAATAGCCGAGATATTATTCTACCTGATAGATATTGCGTTTTTTCATCGTACTGCTTCAACGAGCTAAATTGTCGTTCTGGTTGATCCATGTAAAGATTTGATTGAAATGTGAAAACGTTAAAATGTAAAATGCTTAGAATAATGGCTTGGTATTCTGTGTCGTCTTAATTGCATGCAGCATCAATACATCGGCTTGCATATATATGCATAGCATGTGTTTACAGAGTACAGAACAGGAAAAAAAGACCTTATCGCTTGATTGATCGCATGCAAAGTATGCCACGTAGTATTCGTATTATGACGCATACTTGCTGCGCAGTGTGTCATAGTTTACTAATAATGATACCCTACTACGTGGCATTTATTTTTCGTGTTCATTCATATTACGGCGTCGCTTCTCTCAACAGATCAATTTCAACTTCCTATGAATCGATCCGATGAAAAGTGTTTCGTACTATGCACACTCTCAGTTCTGCAAGAATATGGGTTTGCATATGATGTCTTCCTCTAAAGAGA